GCAAGTTGATCCTGGGCACTGTAGCTCCTTCAGCCAACCAAAGGAGGCCTTCTGCTTCCTTTTCATTAACTTCAACCATTTTCTTAAATGGACACTGGAACCAAAATGTGCTGACCTCAGCACCAACCGAAATCTTTGTGTACAGATACTGGGAACTGTAGCAATACAAGGGGTGTTTTAGCTCAGAATTTCACTGCAGAGGTGTCTTGCATTGTTTTAAAAACAGAAGGTTTTTTAGGTTTCTGAAGGAGGTGAGGATCAAGAATGCTATGCTATAGAGTGCTGTTCAACTGTGACAACTTGTGACAGTGACACAGCATTTTAAAAAGAACTTGTTATCGCTGGCCTGTCTTTCAGTTTGACACTCAGCCCCTTGCGTGTCTTTCATAGAAGCAATTCCATTTCCTTCAATAAAACTATTGACGTGAGGATTGCAAGACTAGGCCTGACATTTGGAGGCATGATCTCCTCCCTGAGGCCCCATTTTGCAAAAACGCTTAGAATATATGGAGCTTCGGCAAGTCAGTGACAGAGAACTGGTTTGAGTCAGAGGTGTAAGAGAATGGATAGCCCATTGTTCCTCTTCTGATCATGTCATCTCTTAATATATAAAATGACTTTTTTTTTCTAAATGGCTACAACACCAGGCTACTCTGGGGTGTGGGGAAGGTTGTATAGGCCCTTGTTCTGCAAGTTTCAAAGGCTGTAAGAGAAGGGGGCACCCAGCAGTTTGCACAATTGGATCCGGAGTACAGAATTACACGTACCGCTTTCGTTACTTACTGCCTGTTATGAGGACTGTTTCCCTCAATTGTGTTTCAAGAAGTTGGGGCAGGCAGAGTGCTGTTCTCTGAACTATAATCGCTAGTGGAGTCAATATGGATTAAGTCCAACAATTTTTCTGCAGGCTGTTTTTTCACCAAAGCCGAGAGCACGTCAACCTTGCTAGTTTGCAGTTCTATTTCATGCTAGGTTTTGGAGAAACAGCACTGATGGGTGCTTTTTTTGTACTAGAGATAGCAGCCTCAGCTGCCTGTCAAAAGGTTTAGAAAGGCCTTTCTTATTGCACCATGTGGAACAGCTTTGATGGCAAGATCAGTTTTCAATAACCTGCTTGCTTTCTCTGATAAAATGGCTCCTTCTCTGCCATTATTGACAATTCCTGTCAAAGCTAGTAATTTTAATACAGGCCAAGTGAAAATTTGGTCTGAAACACGAATAACACCCCCCTCCTACAAACGCTGCTAATACTTTGTTATTACTATTACAATCATAAACTGGTACTTTACAGTCTGTCTTACCAAACATTGGACTGACCAGCAAAAATCAGCATTTTAAATACAGGTGGTCTTTCGCTTGGGGAGTGCACAATGATTACTCTGTGCTGGTCCAATTCTGCTGCCTTGAAGACTTGTTGAGGAAAGGAAAGGCTATTGATACAACTTACACATAACTTTGACCTTTTGGTTTTTGTCAATGCCTATGAGGATTTAAAGAATCCATATACAAATTACAAAATCTGATGTTCTTTCATGAAATGTTGTTCCAAAAACTGGGGGCAGTGCTCCACCAGAGACCCTACCAGTGCTGAATATGCTGCAAAGATTACTTCGTATGTTTTGCAGACTACATTGTTGTTCATGCAGTTCAAAAGGTGATCAGCTTTATTGCAATATTGTGACATTGTTGACCCATGTTAAGCTTGTTATCCAGTGTAATCTCACAATTTCTTCATGTGTAGTGAGCTGGAATTCCAAAGGGTAACAACACAGACCTAGGAAGGCAGCAGCCTGTGCATCAAAATTGCCCGTATCGTTGTTTGTCCTGTCTGCCCAGGAGCAAAGAAGGTAGGTAAAGCTGTGTATCTTCCTGGATTGCTGTCTGGCCAACTGCCATGTGTATTATTGCCTCAGGTCTGCCACGAGCTGTATTGCTTTTTGGTGCACTGAGCAGAGGAGTGGCGGAGGTGTGAGAAGGATTTAGGGAAGTTGTAGGAAGGAGCATACGAGGAAGAAGGAACATTTGTGGAAGAAACATTGCCAGTTGTTGATAAACTGTGGTCTTTCTCTCTCTTGATCAAATTATCATCATCTTCTACTCAATATTCATGATTTCCAGAAAATATCCTGCTCTGACCAAGGAGAACTGGTTTGAGAGGTCAGGCTACTGTGAAAAATAAACTGTAAAACTCCCTGCACCATCCAGTGACAAGGTCAGGAGCTTGAGAAGGTATCATCCCAGTAGTACTACAGCAGCAGCTGCAGCAAGAAGCTTCTTTATTGCCTACATTTGATCTAACCTGGCCCACCTTTTTTTTTTAACTCATGAAGCCCTTTGTCACACATTGGATGATTATTTGCTCTTTAAACAGTCCTAGTAACCCCCGGATTTGGAGGACTACCTGGGAGTTTTTTCGAACAGAATAGGCTTGAGAAGGATAGCATAGCAGAATTCACAATGATTATAGAGTTGAAGTCTAACTTCACTTTTTTCTGGGACACATACTCTTTTTTAGGAGGAAGGGGCCTGACTTCTCAAAGAATAAATAGGGCAAAGTCTGTAAAAAAACACTGCTCAGAAACCTGGGTGCTCACATTTAGACGAGCCGCTTTCTGGAAGGGACGGAGAACTGTTTTCTGGTCTTTGTTTTGCTTGTGGCAACTTTTTTAGTGTATATATATTGTATACAGGTTCCACCATAGTTTGAAAAATGTTAGGGCTCGATACTGTTGAGTCAGCCCCTTGTTTACTTTTGGTTGTGTATGCAGGTTCTATTGCTTAATCCATGAAAAAAATCTTCCATTTTGAGAGCTTAGAGTATAGAGGGATGCTTCAGATGTTCCCCTGAGGTAAGCATAAAGATTTCTAAGAGTACTTGCCTTTGTTGGACATTTCAGAACATTAGGAAGAAGGTAGCAATCCTGCATAGAATGGGTTTCTCCACTTGCTTGGAGAAACAGCACATGTTCCCCTGTAACAAATACTCTTTCACTACCAGCAGGTGCAGAGGAAGGCAGAGCTCTGCATTTGCACCCACCCTGCCTTCCTACAAAGCGCCTCAGTATTGCTACCCGTGCTGTAGTTTCCTCACTCAGGTGGACAAGCAGTCTGGTATCAGCTGTGCTCTGCAAAGTGAGACTTCCTCGAGCCTATTCCTTGCTTTGCCTGTATGGTCTAGTGGGTGCAGGAGTAGCTGCTGTACAAAACCTAAGGACAGGCATTAATAAACACAAGGTGTGCTTTCCTTCTTGGGGGAGGAACTTGCTCCAGTAAGAACATCAGACATGCTTGAGCAGTTTTTAGAAAGAACAGCCATAAATGCCAGAATGCTTCCTGGCATCTTCTTTGGACAATATATGATTATCAGGAAGGGAAAGGTGCAGTTGGCACAGGCTTTACAGAGACAAACCATTAATGTCACTGCACAACTGTCCTAAGAGAGGCCCAGTCTGACCTTACAATACTGTGGAACCCACAAGATCGATCTTCTTGAGTCATTCCCAAAAGGAACGTATGTCAGTATGTATTTATCATATGCTTACAAGGTCAAAGTGGAGCATTAAGCTCTATTGCTGGGGAAGGGAGGAAAAGTGGGGAAAAGGACAACATCTGTACTCCAATTGCCCTCTAAACCAGAGGAAGTTCAAAGAAACTTTATTCTTCAGTATATCAAGAGATATGGAAAAACACAGGGTCATAGCACTTCAGAATTTTTTGCATCGTGTTTGTGGAGGCTTTAAGAGCAGCAAAATGAGGGCACAGAGGCCTTCTGTTCCAAACAATGTGCAGTAGCCATTCCCTTGAAAAGCACAGGGCACGTGCAGCAATTGCTATTAAATGAAAAACAGCGGTTGGACTTTAGGCTGAACGAACATGTTGTAAGTAGGTTTCATGTTAACTGCTTACCGACTGTACCTTGTACAGGTACATGTTACAGAACAGACTGTGTCCTTCGGATGTGCATCACGAGAGCGGCACGTGTATGCAGCATACGGCTGACCGCGTGTATACGTTTATAGTGTGTGTGTTCTGTACTTGTTTATTATGATGAATGCCAAACATAAACAGGGCTGGAAACTTCTCTACGGCCACCTAGCCTTTTCCACGTGAGACCTTACTTTTAGTTGTTTATACATTTCCTAATGCTTCAGTGTTTTCAGAGAAATTTTCTGTCTCGGGTTCCTTCTGGGGTAAGAGGAGAGAGGACAGAGGTGAAAGAGCATTAGCTAGAACAATTGAGTCATCTGGAAGTCAGTCTTGCAGAAGATACAGAATATTCACCCCTGTATTTTTGGTAACTTTCTTTTAAAAGATGATGACATCTTACTCTTTGGAACCCTGGACTTCATTGGGGGAAGACGATGCTTTCATGTCAAGAATGTGCATTTTGCTCGACTTATGAAAAGCAGCCCCAAATGTAACCTGGTTCTGTTCGCCTTTGGTTTTTGGGGGGGGAGGTCATTGTTTATGCTTTTGTTAAGATTTGCTAGTTCTTTAAATTCTTCAAAGCTTTATCTTCTTTAAAGTAAATTTGACCTGCAGCTGCCAGTCGGGACTGTCTCTTGTCTGGTCTCAGCACTGCAAGTGGAAGCAGGGAGCCTTGCCTTTTCCTCCTTTGCGAGCTCAGAAAATGTTGACCTCCATCAGGTTGCCTGATTTGGACCAGATCAAGACGTGTGTTGGTGGGGAGAGTGCAAGTGGGAAGAGGTGAAGGAGTTTGAAACAGGAGAGGAAAGTGAGACAAAACGACACTAGGTTAAGAGTGATCACTGGAAACTGAGACTACATAGTCAAGGACTTGGATTTGAGAAATACGGAAAGAAGAAAAGAAAAGATGGTGGAGTTGCTGGGGATAGATTGTGGAGTTATTGGGGCGGGAAATGGAACAACTCAACTCAGAGGGAAAATAAGAGGGAAGACTGGCACAAAAAGTTAGAGATGTGAGGAAGATGAAAGAGGTAACAGACGTGGCAAGCTGCTTTGGCTCTAAGAATACTAAGATGGTGAGAGTAGGAAAATTAGGACTTGGGACCATGCAGGTTGAGGGATGTGGTGAGTGACTCAGCGGTGGAAAGCAGGCAAGGAGCCTGCAGGTGGAGAATGGAGATGGGTGACCACAAACGGAGGAAGATCCCATCTCAGTATACGCCTCTGCTCTAATTCTTCTGGCTTACCCTGCCATCCAGACCTGTGTCCCCTCGAGATAACCTCCTCGCGTGAAATGCTGTTTTGTAATGTTTTCCCAGACTGCTGGATCTGGAGCATACACTGTGCAGATCATTCGTTGTTCTGACCCTGTATATACTCCAAGGAGATGCACTGATTTCTACAACTCAAGAAAATACCTACATTTACAGGTGATGGAGAAACTGTTAGTAGTCAGGCCAGCCAAGAACAAGCACTAAGTTTTGCATCTGGAGTGGTGACAGAAAAGAGAACGGCGTGTTCCCTCATTTTCTAACCGATTATTTATGATGAGGAAAATACACTTTCATACTGCTGAGAAAAAATCATGCTATTTCAGGAGTCAATTTAAAGCTGTCCACTAAGAACAATAAGAGGCATTGGGCATGATTTCCTGTTGTGAAGGGATCTTTGACTGAACCTGTGATGGTCAATAATGACAAATGGCCAGAGGAAGATGGAATTCCCAAACATGTTATGAAGTCCTATCCTCAGCAGAGTCTTGATGTATTGTAGCGCTTGCCAGCCAACACATCTTCTTTTACTCTGGCAGCCCTCTGAAGGGTTGTTTGTTTGGGTTTTTTTTTTGTGTCGATAACATACAATTGCACTCACTTCAAAACCCGACTGCGAGGGCGGTGCTCTGTCAGGGCGCCCGCAGCTCGGGCCAGCGTGCCACCGCAGGGCGTTGTGTGGGGCTGCCTGTGGCTCCGCAGGGCTTTCTGGACACTCAGGAAGGGGAAGGTGTAGCACGGTCAGGATGCACACGGTGCTCGCGGCTTTCCAGCACACAGAGGGGCAGGTGTGGCTAGCACCGTGGCACAGGGGGAGCGTGGACCCTAAATGATGGCTAGTGCACAGTGTGGGTGACACAGGAGGGTTGGATGGCCAACGCTGTGTGCGCTGGCCAACGTTTGGGCATACCTACGGGCACTGGAAGGACGCGAGGCACCCAGCGCTGTCGCACTGTGTGGGCAAGGACAGGAGGTGACATGGGCTGCCAGTGTGACATGTGGGACTGGGCGAAGGGGGGCCCACGTGCACGTGCTGTGCGTACCCCACGCCGTGTTTGGGCAGAGACATGGGGCCTGGTGCACCAGCAGGTACATGGTGGCTGTGGGACCCGCGGTCCCAAGGGCCCTGTGCTTGGCAGGGGGGCGCGGCACTGGGGCAATAACACCCTAAGTGTCACCGAGCGCTTCAGCAC